GGAAATATGCATATTAAAAGCGAGAGAGAAAGCAAGAATTCTAATGTATTGAGCGGAAGACACACAGAGAACGAGGCAAAGACAGAAGATGCGCTTGTCTAGTTGCGTAATGTCGATAGCGAAACTGTTTTCCGACGAGATACACTACGCCCGAGTAGATATGTCGATGAGGCTGAATAAAAAGAATGAAGAAATGAATGAGAGTAATTCGACTCTGTAAATCTGAATATAAGCGGAACGACCATCAAATCGTAATTTGATTTTTGCTGATAGTTTGATCTATTATAAGAACTTTGTATCTCCGTCCTTACCGCATACGCAACGAAACAAAGGAGACAAATGATTTTCTTTTCACATTTTCCTTCTTTTTCCTTCTATTCTTGTGATAAACTTTTAACTCATCATAATGATTTCTATAAATATTAACGAATTTCCTCAATATCGTCTATGCAAATATACTTTAATAAAATGTCCGAAGTTCTTCTCCTGTGTCTGCTGTATTTACTATTAATTAAAAACATTTCTAGATTGAAAAGAGTAAGCTGTAGGCGTTCTTAAGAAAAGAGGAGGGGTTTTCTTGATAATAAATCTTTTTCCGTCGATGACAACTAGTGTGTAGAATAATCTTATTTTGTTATTACCATACCTGAATAATACCTGGCATTTTCTAAGCTAAACTGTAAGTACGACACTGTTTCTTCTTCATTAATTCATCCTAGATAGGAAGTGTTTCACGAACAACTATCTATTTGATATTTTACGTAAACATTTATCTCTAGATCGATTCGAGTATGTATCTTTTTTGAGAATGAATGAATGAAGAACTTGACGGTTCAGTTTCCAAGAAAGTTCTACTCGATTGACACTATAATTCCCACGTGTTCTCCATCAGTTGGTAATAGATCTACGTAAAAGAGATCGCGCGCTCATTTGAGATTACATTTGTATGTACACAAATAGCGAGAGGACGATGTTCGAAACATTTGAAATCATATCGTGATTACTTGACTGAAGGAAGTCATGCTTGTATAATCTGTTCGTTGTAACTAGCGGCGTCGGTTTCATATCTCCTTCAAAGACATAGAATGTCTCCTTGAGAAAAAAATCTATTAAATAGAGATCCAGCTTCTGATATGACCATTTCTAACCTATAACCTCCATTGCGAATGTATGATAAACACGTTGCCTTCGAGTTTCTTGAAGTATGTATACGACAAGAGACCTTCGTCATTGACAACCACCTACCGAACAATACATTCGGGCGCGAAAGATATCGGATGGTATGATGATGCTCGACAACATTATCTCCCCCTGTTTAGGCTTTGACATACTTTTCTTTCTTTCTGTTCTTAAGATGTAGATATATTTATTAGAATTTCCAACGATTAGTAATGAACAATACAATATCTGATAAAGGTTTTGTTAAATTCGCATCACGTAGTGAGGAATTTATTCTACCATGTTTATTATTAATTGGCACAACTTGTAATACACTAACATTTGCTGTGATGAGACGAGGTCGTATGCGACATTCATCATCATGTTTCTACATGGCTACATTGGCTATTACTGATACGTTTGTTCTTTGGATTGGTTGTCTCAATCGTTGGTTAGAGTTGTTAGACAAGAAACGACCAATTTTAGCCTGTAACTTGTGCTGCAAACTGGGTACATTTGCATTCTTCTTCTTTGCCGATTGTAGGTAAGTGAACGGTATAGCACATACATTCCTTTTATTCTTACTTGTCTATCTTCAACTTATGACGGAACATTGCTAGGCACTGCAAAACGATTATTTTCTTGTTAAAACATGCATCAGATCAAAAACAGCTTTCTAAATATACACTCCAGAGTGCATTTCTTGAAACTTTGTAAAACAAAGACCTAGAGCAAAGATATTTTTAATTTCTCTTTATATAAAATTGTTTAGTGTCTGGATTACCGTTGCTATGACATTCGAACGATATATCGCTGTTTCTCAGCCATTACGTGCTAGTCAACTTTGTACAATCAAACGTGCACGTTACATGCTGTTATTTGTATTCATCACATTTTTTTTAATCAACGCTCATTTTCTGTGGACGTTTCATTTATCTCCAACAGAATTACATTGTATTCCATTGAATACTCAATCCTTATTCATACGTTATTTTACCTGGATTGATTCGTTCAAATACTCTTTTTGTCCGTTTACACTTTTAATCACATTAAACATCTTGATTATCAAGAGCTTATTGAATGCGCGAAATGCAAATAAATATTTACAACAACAACTCTCCTCCGAAACCAGTTCCAGTCAGCATGCAAGTAACTATTCGATGGCATATTCGACAACTAATCTAAACTCGAACGTCTCGATTAAAAAGAAGAAATACAACCTTTCACGTTCATCAAATGCCTGTCAACAACAACAACAACAGCAGCAGTATACTATGTCGACGAAAACTTTAGCTTGTCGACGAGTGAACCGTCGTTTAACAACAATGCTATTAGCTGTTTCATTTGCATTTTGTGTATGTTCAATGCCAATATCTATAATGCAATTAATCGATGCTATTTACTCCGACGTTGAAAATCGTTCATCAACAATGAATGCAGGTATTGCGATCGGCAAAATCATTGCAGAAATTTCGCAATATATCAATCATTGTATGTTGATTTGATGAAAGAAAAAGAAGATCTCACTATGACATATGTCTTTGCTTATTGTTTAGCTTCCAATTTTTTTCTTTATGCATTCACGGGAAGAGTTTTTCGTCATGAACTACGTCGGTTGTTTAGTTGTCATGATTTTCTGTTTTTTACTTCATCATCGTCATCTCAACGTTTATCGAAACGTGCGAAAAAGTTAATGTTACTTCACAATCCATCACAAGGTGTCCATGAACATTTCTATTCAAATGGCAAGCGCCACACACGAATCTTAGTTGCACCAAAACGACCATCGAATATTTCGGATATATACACTTATCGACAGAGTATTTGTAGTGCTCAATCATCATTCGAAATGCCACTTGCTAATCAAAATTATCAATTGCGACAGAATTCGATGATGGTCAACGATGATCAAGACGATCACTTTCTCACTGCGTATCAAAGGCAATCTCTTGGGCCACGAGCTAGTTCAATAACACAAACAACATCGATCATGCTATTGGATTCGCCGACAACACCTATCCGACGTAACCGATCCGGTTTGGATTCATCTGTTGATAATATGAGAAATCAACCACAAGAACAACCATCACCAACGAAAATATCTGATGTAACAAAATCAATAGCTTTACCTGATGTCACATCAAATTCATGATATGACTAAAAAGCAGGAAGTAATGAATTGTTTTGATTTAGTCATATATCTACTGTTTAATTGTGTATACATATATTTATGTGTATCTATGTCAAAAGATGTGATCGTCCATTGTGTGCAAGCTTCAATCTATTCTTTAACATAAAATAAATTGAAATAATCAGAAGTGGCCTATATTCAGTGTATTGCCTGGATAAGTATCTTTTGAGATTATCCATGATCGGAATTTTACTCCTTCTCAAAATTATGTCGGCAGTTCACCAGATCATCGAGACATGATATATTAATAAGAAATATAAAACTAAGCGTATCATACTGCCTATGTCGAGCAAGATCTTCCATCATTCTCCTACTAGAAATTTGGAAACACTGCATATGATCACGCGATGTCTTTATATCCTGCAAAATATTCTTTTTATTTGAATAATGATACTTTCGATGGATTAATCTTGATGGATCCCAAAGAAAGTCTTCATCCGAGTTTTTTTATCTTAAAAAGCCTTTCTATTTTTTCTTGGCCATCATAGTTTTTGAATATACAAAATCTAGAAATAGACGCAGTCAGAACCTGCTGATTTAGTAGATTATATTTCTTGAGCTGCGTTGACATTATTCAATAGAAACGGATTGCGCGCAAAGATTAAGCACATTTGTTCGCATTTATTTTCTGTAAGATATAAAAAGTATCATTTGCAGAAGTATCCGTTAATGAATGTGCACTATACGTTTAATTTTTCTTAACTCGAGAATATCAGAGTTCAGTTTTCATTAAATAGATGGAATATTCTTTTGATATTCTAAATCAAGGAAATAAGAAGTGCGTAAAGCGACGAACGGAAATCTGGTGTTTTCATTTTTCGAACACGTGAGAAGAAATGAGAACCGCCACAAGAAATAAATGCATCAATAAACAGTATAATAATAGCTTACTAACAATACGATTATTTGGTTCCGTGATGAATTCCATGATATTTCATCTTTCCGGTCTGATTGAGACTGGGAAGGAGATGTTTCTGATAAGTGATAGAAATTCTACGCCCATTTAACAAAAAAAAGTTTAACGTTCAAGTTTTGTAGTTCTAAAAAAAGCTTGTTGTGTTTTGACGAGCCTGATGATAGGTAGGTGTGATAGTGTCTGGTAATCCTTTTCATTATGTATATTGGGATTACCGTAAGAAGAACTTAGTTAAGTAAGAACATTGTTTATACGTCATTCATTTTAATGATGAAAGACCAATACAGAGTTTTTCTAATACAAGTCAATTTGATATTTTAATCACATCTAAAGCTCATACCTTTACGATGATGTTTATTGACTGATTCCCTTACTTTGTACCATCGTGAGAATGATCTCAAACGTCCTTTATTCCAGTTTAGGTTGGAATCTATCGTAGATGAATATGTACGACTAATTTAAAATAAATCAAACTTTTAAACTGTACATTATTGTATAAGTAAAGTAAGATTCTATTTATCCAAGTAGAGCTAAGAATACTTATACTCTTAAAATTCGAAACCATGTCTACATTTCCATTAGTTATATTTTGTCGCCGTCGGTTCTGACGTCATCACACAGTGTGCAGATGTGTATATAAGGACGTGCTGCTCTGTTTCTTTCTTCAAACTTTAGTTGTCATTTCCGACTGTAAATTTTAGCACATCCAATTTGTTATCATACATTCTATCCAGTATGTCAACATCACTTGTTGGAGTTCAACAGGCCATGTCCCTGTATGGTCTATCGACTTTTTTGGTATTCGGTACTGTTGGTAACATACTTTTGATCTGTATTCTTGTTCAACGTACACATCGACAAAATTCTTGTTCTCTATATTTACTTTCGGCAACAATTGTGAATCTGATTTTGATTGAATGCATCCTTCCTGCTGCGGTTTTTTCTGGAAAGTATGTTGATCCACAAAACGTTTCATTAACATGGTGTAAAATTCGCAGTTATCTATTCAATGCTCTACTCATGCTCTATCGATGGTATAAAATGGCTGCCTGTGTAGATCGTGCAGCCATGTGCAACCGTCGCGCATGGATACGATCATTTAGTCAAGCTCGTGTTGCTTGTCGGGTAATACTGGGTATAACGATCGTTTGGCTTATTATTCCCATTCATTTGGGACTTTTCTTTCGCATTGAGAATGGCCGTTGTATACCCGAATCAGGTCTCTACGCGAAACTGTTTAGTGCTTATTCGATCATTATTTCTGGGTGGTCACCACCAATCATCATGGCAATATTTGGTATTATTTCTTATCAAAACCTGAAAAAAGTAAGTCTGTTCACTCACGTGAACTAATTTGATCGATGAAATCTATTTATTTTTAGGTGAGAGCACGAATTCATTCGACACATATAGCAGAACAAAACACGGTAGTCAATGTTATAGCACCCGGAAAGCAGCGAATGGGTAATCGAGATCAACAGCTAATCATTTTATTGATGTGCGAAGTTTTACTTTATGTCAGCACAAATCTTCTTTATTCAATTAATATAACCTATTCCGCAATCACATCCAACGATCAGAAAACTAGTGAACGTATTCGCATCGAATCGTTTATTTCATATTTTTCTACTCCATTTCTAATTATCATTAACAATTGTGCACCATTCTATCTCTATCTGTGTGTGTCAAGTAAATTTCGAAAGGATGTTAGGAATCTTTTCAGCGCATGTTTCTGCTGTCTTCGCCCAAATTCATTAATCGCTGTGGACCCACGTTCAAAAGCAACAGCAATGGTGGCAATTAATCCAGCGGCGTCAATATCACGCCAACAATAACTTATTTTTGCTGGAACTCATGATTAGCATTTACTTTTTAAAATCTAATAAACTAAAATCCCTGATGTCTGTCATAAATACGTCTTCATTTCTATATTCTAAAAATACTAATCCTGTTAATCAACTCATCAAGGATATCGTGAGATTGAATATCGAGGTTCGGTTGATCAAGTGCATGAGTCCACAAAAACAAGAATTCGACACACAGGAAAAGTATCAGCAGCCAATACAATGAATTCAAGATTACGTTAACGAATGTCTAGGAATATTTTTATACTCCAGGTACTTCTTTCTTCTGGTCTTGTGCCCATAAGCGTTGCACTGGAAGAACTTTTCTTAACTATTAGAGCTGCGCATTGGGAAGTACAAAAGAATCTAATTACTAATCATTATCATTAGCATTTCGAATACAAATTATAATTCACAAAAAAAAAACAACCGTATGAATTACTGAAATCCTGCGGATGTGTATTTTTAGAAAGAATTCTTCTCATCAATACCATGATGATCAAAACCATTCTCTGACGCGCATAGTTTTCCTTTCTTTTGAAAAAGACAACAAAACACAGACACAAACATTCTAATCAAGAAATGAACTACTACTCCATTTCCAATCGTGCATGATCCACATTTTTTTGTTGTTGTCTGTTTCAAATTTTCCAGTCCAATACTATAAAGTCTTGTGACAAAGGCAATAGTTCAAGATAACATGATTGTGCAGACATCACATGCTGTTGTTACAATTTTGTTTTTATATCCGGATGCTGCATTCCAAGAGAAAGAACTTTTCACCTCGATGAAAGAGACGCTCGTTTAGTGCGATTTAACGCCGGTCGTATGGTGAATTATTTCTCCATTGAGAAGAATCAATCTTGAATAATGGCACATATATCAGATTTCGAATGACTTCTTTTGTTGGAAGTAAAGACATTGTCACTCTTTGTTTAATAAAATCATCAAATATCAACGAACGGTACATTATTAGAACAGATAGTACACACAAAGTGTTACTACAGCTGATCAGTCCAGCGCATAAGTGTTCGCCTATCTGTAGCGTTTGAGTTTCTTCGAAAGAAAGCCTCTTGATTTGAGAAGAAAAAAAAACATCCTCATGTACAATTTTCTTCTCTCCTATTTTCTGATACATATACGCACCACGCACACATACAAAGAGCAAGACGAGCACAATGAAAAAGCAGAAAAGAACGAAACAAGAAGAAAAGAGAACAACATTCAACAAAACAAGAGAGAACAGCATCGAGTTCTCTTCGTAAATTTCTTTGCTTTATTCATCAATCGCGGAGTGACTGTTTGGTTTCGTGTTGGTTGATTCAGAATTATCGTAAATCACCGTACGTGTTAGCTTTGGCACTGAAGTACCATTTGTATTGTTATTGGACGGTTCACTATTTGAGTGAACTGCTGTTGCACTGACGATTTCACTTTTGATTCCCGGTGCGGACAAAGTAATTTCATCAGGTAAATCAGCTAATGCGCTGTCATCATCATCTTCATCATCATCATTATCATGTTCATCTAATTTTCTCTTTCTATTTCTTTTGCTTTCATCATCATCATTATCGTCACCGCCATTTACATCTGTGGACATATTCTCAAGTGTTTCTAATTTTTCTTCGCATTCGCGCTTGAATTCTTCCAATTCCTTCTCAAGTTCAGTTTGACTTTCTTGGAATTTTTTCTCTAAAACTTCATCGATGGAACCTTTGGGTAAGAAGAATACGTAAGGTTTGGTTTGAGTTCGAATGAAATGCTTCAATCGACGATGGTTCTCTTCAGCGTTATCCAGCCGTTGTTTAATATCAAGTTTCATATTAAGTAGTTTCAATTGCTGTTGAAAGTCTTTTTTTGTTGCTAACAATTCTGTACGTTCGTGTTTCTTATTTTCGCGTTCTTTTTCTTGTTTCTCTTCTAAACGTCGTTCGATTTCTTGTCGTTTCAAGCCAACAGTTTGTTCATTGTACGCATTGGCTTCCGCTTTGAATTTGTTCAATGTACCTAAGAGAACTCCGAACATACGACGATTCCGTCCCGTTGATTGTTGATCACGATTGACTAATGAAATCAGATCATCTTTGGTCTTGATGATTTTGTTCGTCGGAACGATAGATGAATGAAGAGATTTGGACGGTGACGAAGTTTCTTCGAAACTGTTCTCTCCCAATGATGATGTATTCGGTTCGTCATACGACGAAGATGATACTCGGGAACGCTTGGCACTTGCTGGATCGTTTGATGATGGATGACCATTTGTAGAAAATGTACGTTGGTTACTCGTTGATGATGTTGTGATGCGAAAATTTGGCGGAACATATGTTTGTTTGAGACGCGTATCGATATCTTGTAATTTCGACCATAAGTCCTGTCGAGCACGTCGCAATTCTTCAGCAGATAAATTTGTAGTTGCACTACTCATTTGCGATCGTTCAAGGTTCACTACGAGAGGTAAGAATAAACGAAAAAAAAATCGGTTCAGATTATGAAATATTGATATACGAATAAATGAATTGTTCGGCCATGTTGGTTAAGTCAGAGAGAACGAAAGTCGAACAGCCAATTGTGGAAAAGATGAACATTTTTGGTAGTGACAATGACTTCTTCATTTGTAAATTAAGCGAAAAGAAAAAAGAGAAAATGAAATTAGTATGAAAGAAATTTCAAAAATGTAAAAACGCTGCTATCGTTCTGGACCTACCAATCAGCGCCATCTATCGCATGGCAGGTACACACGAGTTACTTGCTTAAACATTGTGAGCGTGTGATATGTTTTAATTATTTTCAATTGAGAATGCACTTCTTTGAAGCAAAACACGACTTCCTGCTGATGAATGATAAAACGCTATTCTAGTCTAACGAAGTATTCAAAGAATTAGAATACGATTGATTTAATAAAGCCGCCTGCATAATATTGCTTTCCTGTTTTTCGGTCGATACGTCAAAATTATAGGGAAATCGTAGTGTTACATAAAATTATACTCCTGTCTCTGAATTACCTTAACCAATAAGTCTACCCAGGCAAAGAGAATCTTTTGGCAAAGTGTCACGAACTTGAGTTCATGCTGCAGACACGTCAACGAGTGGATTTTATACTCAAACACTTTTATAATTGATTATATTCAATGAGCGTTTTTCTCTTTCTGATAATCCCATTTTTCTCTGAAAATATACGTCGACTATATTCTGCTAGCGAGGATTGAATTAAAAAAGATCAAGTTTCATTCTGACATTTCTCTATTACAGATAGATATGTCGAACGCTGTCTATTCCATCTTGAGTCGATATACACAACCACCACTTATTATCTTTGGGACTATAGGTGCCATATTCAACCAAATATTGTTCTCTTCCCGGAAATCTCTGCGAAGCAATTCATGCTCATTTTATTTTCGAGCACTGTCAATTAACGATTTACTCGTTATGTACGTATATGTACTTCTTCAGTGGATCGCCGATCAATATGGGTTTGATCTATCAAAAACATGCATTTCGATGTGTAAAATCAAAACTTATATTAATTGTATTCTGTATACTTTGTCACCGTACTTTGTCGTTTTGGCTTGTTTCGATCGTTTGTGTACCAGTTCACGCGATGCTAATTTACGACGAATTGCCACACCTCGTATTGCATCTTATCTAACATTTTCAATGATTGTGATTGTCATTGCTGCTTACTCTCACATTCCTATCTACACTACTCTGTTTCTTGGTCCAACCGGATTGACTTGTTCAAGTACTAACCTAATGTACAGCAAGATCAACGCAATATTTGTTTTGACTTTTCTTGCAATTTTACCTCCGATTTTAATGACAATTTGTTGTATTACAACATTGATTCTTCTTCGTATTCAACGTCGACGAGTTATGCCTATCAATCAAGCACGTATACGTCAACGTGATGCCCAAATATTCAAAATGCTGCTTCTCTATGTGGCATTTCATTTGATATGCACAATACCATTCAGTGTTGTTCTACTGATTGCCGTTTATCAATTACCAGCACCATCAGCTACAATCTCTACACTATATCAATCGTTTGTATTGTTGTTCAATGCAAGTTTTTCCATTAGCTTCTACATCTATACACTTAGTACGCCATTTTATCGGCATGAGTTTCTGAGCTTAACAATGAACATTTTCAAACGATGTCGGAGAATAATTAAACCCAATTAAAACCATCTATCAATGACTCATTTTTTCCTATGAATGTATATTTTTCATTTGTTTGCGTATTAAACATATTGCGTTCAACGAATACTAAGAAAATAAAGTAACATATATGCATTTAACATACAGGGCAAGTTTTCGTATTCAAGCATGAAATCTATTTGAATTATAAAAATATTCTATATCAGTTTGAGAACTTTTCTAAGTTTAGATAATCTGCTTATGATAACCGGTCATTAGAAATTGTTAGCTAAATAGATTTTGATTGAAAAAAATAGGAAAATATTATTAGTAGGAGATGTCATATCCCGACATTATCTTCATCATTAGAATACCAAAATAAGGATTAAGAATCTCATGATTTTTGTCTAATACGCCAGATTTAATTATTCGGAAGCATATACTGCGAATGACCGTTGATTTTCAAAGTACTTCTTAAGCATCAATTCAGAACCACAGTAAAATGAATCGTCATAAAATGCATTCCAACGGTGATAATGATGATTGCTCAATATAGCATCGCAGAGTGCTCACTAATATGTAATAGTCCTTATGATAATTAGTAATCAAACTGAGATTAATCCAAGGGGGAAAAGCGAAAAGTCGGTACTGCAGTATACTCCGCGTGCTCCCTAGATGAATTGAAAGTATTCTTGAGATTTTTCTCAGTATTTTCAACTCCACCAACGACCAGTATTACCATACACCAGTTGGAGTACAATGCAACTAAGACCACCGAACAGGAAGGTCCAAATACTCCATGATACTTTGAAAGTGGAGTATACTGGAGCACTGACTTTTCGCTTTTTCCTCCTTGGATTAATCTATATTTAAAAATAGAGAGAAGATATATTCTGACGCTGAGATGGGCGGCGAAGACCTCGGGATTATATTCCTTGCGTGATAGTTAATACAAAAACATTTGATGGAAGAAAGCTGACAAAAGTGCTATTCAGTAGCTAACAGTTGCTAAAAGGACGACTTTGCAGTGGAATGACTGATCCAACCTACTTTCAAGTTACACGTTATTCACAGCCGATTCTGATTGTCTTCGGCACAGCTGGTGCAATACTAAATCAGATTCTTTTCTTTTCTCGGAAATCCCTCCGGAAAAATTCCTGTTCACTGTATTTTCGTGCACTTTCAATCAACGATCTACTTGTTATCTATACAGTTGTCTTACCACTCTGGCTTTCTAATCAATTCAGCATTGATCCTTCGACTAGTTACAGCTGGTATTGTAAATTGAAAACTTATGTTGCTGATAGTTTATATACAATCTCTCCATATTTGGTTGTTCTCGCGTGTTTCGACCGTATGTGTACGAGTTCAACGAATGCTAGTCTAAGACAGTTAGCTACGGTTCGCGTGGGATTCTATCTGATTCCTTTCACGACTGTATTTATATTTGCAGCTTATTTTCATGTTCCCATTTGGTACAGAACTGGATATACAAATAATGCGACGTTTTGTTACAGTCCAGATGCAAACTATAGTAAATTTATTGGCTTATTCATCTTATTTTTTCTATGCATCATTCCACCCATATTAATGGTGATACTCTGCATTATTACATTAATTTTCCTTCGTCAACAAAGACGTCGAATCATGCCAGTAAATCAAATACGTACACGTCAACGTGATCATCAATTACTAAAAATGCTGTTCATGTACGTAACAATGAACGTTATATGTAATGTTCCATTTGCTGTTACATATGCTATGCTAATGTTTCAACAGCCGAGATACGTTCCACTGCATGTCAATCTCTTTCGTCTATTTGGTTTATTATTAAATGTGAATTTTGCAACAAGTTTCTACGCATATACACTTGGAACACCATTCTATCGACATGAGCTGTATAATTTCATGATCTCAGTCCGACATCGAATACGACAAGCGAATTATGTTTAGAGTACTCAATGAAACATGAACAATTGATGAATATGTTGCTGGCTAATGAACATTTGCATATATTTTGTTAGATGTTGTCACATACACACACACACACACACACCCTTGTTTACAGTTACTTGAAATAAATACTCGATGTTAAAAAATAGTCTAAATTATTTATTCTTGATGAACTATATTTATCTTCTACAAAAGAATCATGCCGACTGTCCTTTAGTATAAGAATTATAACAAACATAGTCTCAGATTATTTGAGAATTTGTGAATCAATATAGCATAGCGTAAAACAACATAGCAATTTCTGATCTGGTGTTTTTCATGAAAATATGAAAAACATGCATAGACAATTTGTCACTCAAGTTACACTCCTTGCCTTGACATAGTGTGTGCGGATGTCGCATAAGGACATTTTTCCGTAGTATACGGGTGAACTTCAGGGCTAATTCAATAATTTTTAGACTTACACTTCAAGCACGTTTATCTGCTTGAGACACGTATTGCAACTGGTTGCTGTGGATTTTTGTTCGCATAAGGTTAAACTTATGAAGCCATGAAGGACAAATGATGTATGGAAAAAAAGTCCTTTTTCTCGGTATCTAATCAAAATATTATCCTCGTTTATCTTGAAATGCTCGACGTGGAATTCAAATATTTGTTTTATGTTTTAGTTATAAATATGCTTCTAACAAACATCTATGTACTATTTTGTTTTTTACGTGAGGTGCGTGGTTTGATGTCGGATTCGAATAATTATATATGAATCTCATTAGTACTTCGTAGACTATGCGCCATATGTAGGCAGACAAGATAAAATGTCGAGTCATGTGCGAAGTAGCCTCTAACTACAGACGTTTTTACAAAATAGATTGCCACTCGAGTCGAAGACAAATAAAATGCATTTAATTATAATCCGAATTTTAGTTTTTAAAGATATCGCTATCGCGCTCAGTGTGATGATATAAATTATATAAATATGCATTGGGGAATGTCATTTATTCGATCATCGGAGTTGTTGAATTCAGTATCAAAATGGTTTCAAACAATAGATATTCACAACGACCTTTTTTCCTCAGAAAAACCTACTGGAGCGTGAATTGAAACGTTTTTTTAACCTCATGATGAACAATCCATCAAAAGCAATAGATGATTTAAATGAATCTTAATTAAACTTGTGCACATTTTTGTTTTCATGTTTCTTGAGGGTGACTTAGCAGTAAATTAGAAAGAATTATCGTTCGATGTCAAGGTTTACTAGTCTATTGTGCAAGGTCATATGTAAAACACGGAGAAAAGAAAGAAAAGAAATATTAAGTACGTTTTAGCTGTTTTGTGAGACAACGTGTGAAAAGTGAGGCAGTTTAGAAAGAAACAGAAAAGGAAGAAGGCAAGAAAAATATTTTGACGATCATACGCACCTCTCTTTCTTTTTGGTGCATTGGGAGTGCATTTACAAACTCAGATAGGATACACAGGATAGACAGATACGTATATACACATACATACATTCATAGACAACGTGTATTGTATTAAGAATATAATCGATTTTTTCATTCGAACGCTATATGGAGAGGAAGATTTTCTTACTGTCGAGTGATATAGCAAAAGATCACATGTTACAAACACGACCGTTGTGTGCTGTATGTGGCGCAGCAGCAATAGGTAACATTGTACTTTTTCTAAATTTTTCTGTAAACTGTGTACTTTTTTATTTGACCTCATAGGACGAAATTTTGATGCAATGACATGTTTATCCTGTAAAGGTATGTATACTTACATATTTATATTTGAAAAACTCCAATTTCAGCTCCGTTATAAACAGGAAATGTTCCTCTAATACCAAATGACGTAGTTGACCTAGACGTTTCTTTGCTATGTAACATCTAATAACTAAAGCCGTTTTTAAGATTGTTTCATATGTTGACCTATAAATGACTCATATAAAATTGAAATATTTCATTTATTTTTAGCTTTTTTCCGTCGAAATGCTTACAATGAACACGTAAGCTTCGATGACGAAAAAGTTTATCTCCACGATGATGAATCTTTTTTTCCCATTTAGTTAGTATTCACTTGTCGAATAACAAATTCATGTGAAATAACTTCGACAACGCGACGACACTGTTCAGCCTGTCGTCTGAAGAAGTGTTTCGAGCAAGGAATGAAGAAAGAGCTGATCCGAAGTTTAAATGCTATCAATCATGCAACATCAGCAGCATTAAATATAAGAGCACAACATCGATCAACCACGGTGAGCGAACAGATCGATAACACGATCATTTGTACTAGTGAGACTATTTAGATGGATTTAATACCAACAAATGATTCGACATTACTTTCGTCAGACGATTGGAATCTATTGTCAAATATTCAAAAAACCTATGAACAATATTGTTTACAAAAATTTCTTGAGTCTCATCAAACGATTCCACTTATACCCCCGATTCAACCATATCGATCGCGTATTAAACTTCAACGTCTGATCGATTTAAGATATAAATATACCATCATCGTTGCTTCGTTTATCCGACGCATCTTTCTATTCGATGGTTTTCAAGTACTATCGGACCATCATTTTCAGTACGTGAAAGCGAGCTTACAATGTATTACATCAGTGAATACAAGTGAATTGATGAGATTACACGTCTTGAAATTCCTACCGTGGGAACATGATCAATTAGTATTACAATCCGTCCTTTCTGAAGAATTTATTCAGCGTGCAGAGACAATTCTATACAAATTTCAAACCCTCCTACCTCACGATATGATCGTCCTGAAATCGTGGGTGATTATTCTCGCTCTCTCGTCTCGAACATTACCTTTATGGAGGAAAGACCACTATAATTCTTCGGATTTCGATCCATATCCGATGAAATTACTTCTTAGTCAAAATTATTACTTGACACTTCTGTGGAAATATGTCATGTATCGTTTAGGTCACAACGATACTATCATTTTTCTAGTCAGATTTATCCAAAACTTTCTTCGCAGACAAATCCTTGAGGCCGACTTGTTTGAGATGATTCAAAATCGAGATGATCATGCTCAATTGACTCCATTGACGCAAGTGAATTTGAAAATCTAGTTATTATTTTGTTATATACAAATAAAGAATGTTTCGAAAAACAAATGTAACTTGTGTATTCAGTATGCTTTAGCACATGACTGTTGTTATTCGTATCGGTTATCTCGTCAGGTTTTTTTTCTATTTAAGTACTTTTTCTTTCAAATAACTGAAGGTTGGAGTTATCTTTGGCCGTGAGGCATGAATCATTAGTTTTTACTCGAACGCACTCTGTTTGTTGTATACAGTCTTGAAATTTCTATAAGCATCGGAGAAAAAATTTGGCAGATAGATAATACTCAGACAAATGGAGAAATGATTCAAGAAAAATCAATAAAACGCATGGGTGTACGTGAGAGAGACTTGACTATTCATCATAACAGTGATATGCTTGTTAATATACGAGTTCGAACGCGTTCTTTTCCTTCGTGTAAGATATAGTTCAATGAACCATGAAAATTTTCTTCTAGGGGACATATATATCATTGCAATATTCATAATCTCTTTTGCTCGATCGTATGCTTTCGAACGTAGAAACTGCAAAGCTGAGTTTGTTCTATTGTGTACACTATATTTATATGAAAAGAATAAATTTCATGGGTCTTATCCACGTGTCAAACATGGCACCAGATGTATCTATTCTTTGATATTAATATGACTTGATTTTCAAAAGCGAGTGTTATTTTTCATCTGATTTTCAATCATGAAGATGGTGATACATGCCATTCATATGTTCATTTGTTGTTTTTATTTGGCAAACTCGCAAATATCTAAAGAGTACGATCGAATCTTAGCAAATGAACTTGATTACATCGATGTTAAAAGCATTCCAGCTGTTCTTCACAACGATAATGTTTATTTAACAATTCTATACAAATGTTCATTGTTCACACGACGTCGAATATCCTTGGCAATACGCATCGAAAGAAATTTGTATCGATACAACTTCGCTGTTTTTCGCCGGCATTGGTTTTGTCAAAAATCAACCCGTGTTCAGACTCGGTATATACATGTTAAGTTACATCGTTCACTGGCATACGCCTCAGATTCGCAAATCAATCTGCAGTCATGGCCGATAGAGCATGGACAATTGTATTTGACCATGTATCAAAATGAACATGAAAAAGAGAATGAAATCATAAAAACTCTTCAATATAAAGTTAAATTTCTTCCGGTACACGAGCGTCCGAACATTCGCTCGTTTCGTTGGAGTCCACCGATGAATAGAAGAACGGAAGGTGTGTGCCAGACGGAACCAGGTGAGACATTTCCTTACTTTTGTGTATATTCTTCTATTTTCCGTGTAGAAATAATACGAACAGTTAATTATCCTTTATTATTGACCGGTGGTGTATATGGAAAGCACTTCGTTCTTCCAGCCTATAAAGAATATAGCCTTCGATTGGAGCAACATACTCGAGTGACACGTCCAAAGTAGAATTCATTCAATTTGATTTACTATCGTGATCCGAATATTTATTTAGATTTTCAATTCTATTTTGGATATTCATTGAGGATTACTGCGCATCTGATGTGTCCACAATGCACTGTGCTATTTTGCAGCATCTTACGTTCAATAATACACATTTATCTCCAGAGTTGTTTCTGAATCGAGAAGGTTTTCGATTTTTGATTTTTTTTGCTGTAAAGGCTTCATTCTATTGTCGTCGTCATTATTCATTTCAGGTCAAATAACTGTTGCTATGTTTGGATACTTACATGATTTGTATGGTATTGGTGCGCGGACATTTGCTGCAATTCCGAAGAAAGAATGGTGCCGGATAGCATTTATCGTTAATGAATACTCTGTAAGGCTAGATTTTGTTTTACAGTTTCCTGCAACGATGACTTGGGACATATTTTAGTGGACAATTCACATTAACTGCGCATCTAATTGGAATCAACCTATTGTTGCTACTTATAAGTAAGAGGATTTGTTTTATTGGCAAGAGTATCGAACATGATCGTCGTCTAGTGCTCCGAATTATTTTTACTCTTACGATGAATTGGGTACATTTGTTATCGGTGGTACTGATATTGTACCTTCGTTTCGAGGATTTATTGGCCAAATGGATGTATATCGAAGAGTGGCATTAACTTATGAACAAGTCGGTCTTATATTGACAGAATCGTTCGACTCATCATTGAAAATTTGTTTTAGCTACCGAAAAGATTCGACTTGTCCTCAATGCCATTTGTACCGTCGATTCTTCAAGATTCACCCCAATGTCAACGTCATATGCGTTCTTTTAAACAATGCCTTGAGCAATATGATTTATTTAGTGCACGCCTTCAAGATAAGTGTAAGTTATTTTGGTACAGAAGTAACTGCTATTGAATTCTTTGGCTAGTGACTTGTACTGCTCAGCCATATCGATTGAAAACAACTCCTCAACATTGTCTTCTTGTTCGTACATGGAAAAAACAAATGATGTCAACGAACGATGTACGTTATAGAACATTTCGAGCTCTACGACGACAACAAGTCAACTCAACAACCGATGTAGGGAATAAACTCTACGAGTTAGCAGTAAAATTACTGGTAAGAGAATGTTTCTGAACACAAAAAGATCATTTGATTTTGGCATCAGGAAAGTGATAATTTGGATCTTGTATGCGATCGTGTTATAGCTTGGTCCGAACAGGCGATTTGTTATGGTCATCCGGCTGCACATTCTCTTCTTGCAGTATTTCATCAATTTGGCCTTTGCGGATTGAAACGTAATTCTACTCGAGTATGTTCCTTTGATTCTATATCGTATTTTCGAGTAGATAATCGATAACATATTGCTGGACTTGAGGTTTTATTGGCTGAGGATTTTTATCATTCATTGGTTGAATTATCTGAGCAAAGTTTGTTAATCTTTCAATAATTTGTTCAAGTAATTGATCTTGCAAAAATTCTCTCAATAGGACAAGGTCGATTAGGCAAGACACTATTGTTAAAATTCCCATCATATATATACAGAGTGCAAATGAATGAGCCTTGTCGATTGATTCTAATCGGAATTTAAATAGACACGACGATTTATACGAAACTCCATTTGCTTGGAAACACGAAGGCGGCAAAGGAATGTGTAATTGAGCGAAATCTCCCAAACCCATGAGTCCACAACACTGAAGTCGTCGATGAACATTGTCTAATGTTTTATCAAACGTGATGTCTATCGTTGAAGACATTGTTCCGTAACGATAAAGATTGTTCGGTAGGAATGAAGTATTATGTGCAGGAAGATCTGAATACATCAAAAGTGCGTAATTGTAATGAGCCTAGAAGAGCAATTGTCGAAGAAAATCTATGCAGTTCGTTAAAAGTTTACTGAAAAGTAAATCGATGCTGGTGCACCAATTTGTCTTTCATCAAAATAGATAGCTGAGCCGATGAGCACTGAACAGGTGTGAATAAGTAAAAGAAGTAAACAATGTATGAGAAGAAAATGTTTCGATTCGTTATAAGTTGCATACATTCCATATAATGAGACGAATATAGTCGAGATTGCTTCACCTGCACATATCAAAATGAGAAAATGAAAGTCTTGAATAATAATCGATTTTTCCGGTGCGTAAGTCTGACGAGCGTTCATACTCGTTCGTTGTCCAGTGAGAAGAGATAGAACAAGAATAGTTACGGCAAGAACTATCGTTAAAATACTGATTATATAGAGTAAAAGTTTAGTTAAATTAAAAATAAAACGATCCATCTATTTCACGATGTTTTTTTATTTTGTTCATTAGGCGCTTGAATTATTCTTTTCGGGGGCATTACGTCATGATCGACTTAGTTTGCTTGCACTTGGACATCGACATTTATATGGTCTTGACAATGTTCCAAAGGACTATGATGCAGCATATGGTTCGTTGATTGAATGAATGCAAAAAAAGTAATCTGATCGTCTATTCAATGTTTAGTTTATTATCGAGAAATGGCTCTAAAAGCAAAGAACGAGTTTTACAGTCCGAAATCTGGTGAAGTTAGTTGTTAGGTATCATATTGTTCAGATATTCGAATTGAGTTTCTAGGCAGCAATGGAATACATTCGTCTGACTGATGACAAGCTTATCGGTGAATTGACTTTTGATAAAAGTGATTCATTCTATTGGCTTAAACAACAAGCTATACGAGGTGTAGCATCAGCTCAAGTACGGATAAATGAACTTTGCTTCTAAATAGGCTTTTCTGATTGAATATCGTGTTTAGAATCGTTTGGGTGAATTGATGTATGCGGGTAGTAATGGATTAACACGGAATATACAAGCGGCTGTAGAATATTTCCGACTAGGTGCTGCTCAACATGATCCGAACTCGCACTTTGGCTACGGATTAGCTCTGTTAAATGTCAGTGCGAACTATCTTGAAGATATTTTTCGAATCATTCTGTTTGTCATTTTAGGGGCAAGGTACAAAAAAAAACGTTACTGAAGCCATTCGTCAAATAGAACAAGCAGTTGAACATGGTTATCTCGGAGCTCAAGTCGCTCTAGGTTTTCCTCATATTCGATCTTTACGTCATATTTGGTTTCTTCTTTTCCAGGCTTTCATGCATACGAAATCGAAAAGAATTATACAAAAGCTGCGTACTATTGGCAAAATTGTTTTGATAAAACCTATGATATTCATTGTGCTCACAATCTTGTTCGTTCAAATGATATTTCCCTGATGGAACACTTCAAATCATTTGCTTTTGCAGGGTGTTATGTGGACAGCTGGTCATTATCCTCCACAATACGTTGCAGATCATGCACGGGCTTGGGGATATTTCTCGTTCGCTGCTCAACGTGGACAGATCGATTCTAAACTCGTGGTATCGTATCACAATGCTCGTGGAGGCCATCCGGTTATTATTCGAGATCCTTGGCTTGGAGCAATGTAAGCTAAAGAATCGAACGTAGTTTTGACTGTTTAAATACTATTTAATTAGCTGGTCGCGACATGTTGCACAAGATAGTTCTGGTCTAGGTACAATCGTTCGACGAGCACTTGAAGCATATCGTGATCGACGATGGTAAAATACCTACTTCACAAAACAAATTCATGTCATTCTTATTGATTTGTATACATAGGCAAACAGCGTTTCTATTCTATCTTCAGGCAGTTATAGCTGGTAATGAACTCGGTTATTTTAACGCTGGTTATCTTTGTAAAGAATTCAAAAACGAAACTTTATTCAATTGTGTCGAAGATTTTCTCAATATGTATTTAATGATGCATGACAACAACATAAATACTGATTCCTATGCTTTGTTAACTGTTGGCGAATACTATCAATCGAAGAAAGTCAATTTAACCAAAGCTATGCAACTCTATGTTCAGTTGTATCAAACTGGAAATCCTCAAGTAGGAACTTAGGACAATTCTATAGTCGCACACCTTCCTGAATTGATTTAGGGTTTGTATAATCTTGCTCAAATGGAAGAAGAACACGAATTGAATCATACCAATTGGGATAAATTCGATATTCGTTTCGATGAAAGCACAGCATCAGATCGATATCGAAGATTGCAAACTATCTATCAACAGTATGTGTCAAGAGAAGACTTTTGGCAAATAACAGATTTTGATTTTAGTTGTCGATCGTTGAACACTGACAAGTCTGATGAATCTTACATACCTTGTACACTTGCTTATTTGAGAATCTCAGCAATCATCTTCTATCAAGAGCATTTTAAAGTAAATCGTACGACTGAACATCGTCACTACTTTCTTCTTTCTCGTTTTAGCTTCTTGTTACAATCATTCTATTGTTTATAACGACATTTCTATTCTTTTATGCCGTGTAGAAATCGATTTCGTTCTCCTATGAATTCGCCACCGAGTATCAACATTAATAAAGTCTCATTTTATTGATCTGACAATTTCATGAAAATATACATCTATATCACATTTCATTCCGAAGACTTCAGACAAGAAGAAGATCATCGATTTTGAAGTCGATTGATGCCGCGAGACGTCGAATGCAATCACTTGAGCTTGTACAACGATATTTTGGTTCATTTAAATTTATAATTCCACTTTCATTCGATCCTCCGACAAGTTCAATCAAACGCATGGAAGTTAATAAAGCTAATTGTATATAAATTTGATTGGTTAAAGGAACTGTATCGCCTTGTAAAGAACAGTAAATAGCCAAGAGACGATTCAATCCGATAGGCTTATTCGATGACAGTGGTAAATATTCGATTTTTGCTGTATCGAGTTGTGCTCGTTTATGCATGATCTTTCCTCGTCGGCTCTTTTTGCCCTGACCTTGTTTATCATAAAGCATTCGATCGTATTTCACCGGATTTTGTGTAGCTAAGTAGATCGCAATCAGCAAATATTTAGCTGAGGTTGGAAGATCACGAGCATTGCTTTTGCTATCCATCGATGTTAAATGAGAGGAATTCTCGTTGGTTTCTTCGTCAGCCGTATGTGTATCAAGAAATTTTGGAATACTCATTGAACGAGTATAGACAGAGTTGAGAACCTAAATCAAACAATAGATAGTAATTCATTGACAAAATTACATCAGATATACTTGTGTGAAGAACTCCTTTTGATAAAGTATACGATAGTCGTTGTTGCTTCCATCATCACTTGTTTGTTTCTTCACACTGTTACGTAAGAAATCTTTGATACACATTGTCGACATGTCTTTTAATTCTATCAGATCGTTTGTGACTGCATAGAAAATCTGAAGTGCTAGTTCAATAATGATTTGTATTTGACTAACTGATGTTGGAAGAAGACCTTGTTGTTCTGAAAAAGAAGGAAATATATATGAAGAGAAAGACATTATTTCGGTTTTTTTGCATACGAGCAAACATGTTTTGCAATATTGTAACGATTTCTGCACGAGTATAAGCTGGTACGAAGATTGCTATGGGTGTTAACACACCCAATTCTGCTTCGATTTGATTCATATGTGGCAATTGATAGAATGGTTGATGTCCAATCAAAATAAGGGAATGATGGAAATATCCCAATGTCAATTCATTTAATTTGAATAACAAATAAAGTAAATGTCCGTTTGTGTCGTAGTTGGAAGCTTTTCATTGAGGGTGGTGAAGTGTTGGTCAATGATGAAATACATGTTTGATAGAACATATTCAACGAGTAAATTTCTCGACAATCGAACCATAAAACCGCATGATTGTGAAGATGAAGTGCGTGTTTCACCAACGTTGATTTACCTGTATTATGATTTCCGTGAATATAAACATGTGATGGATAGGGCAATTGTGGATTGGGAGAAAAAAGTTTCTCTATTGATGAAAGAATTGCTGAACGACACGAATAACTAGAGGGTAAAGACATCTAAAATATAGAGTGTTTAGTGCGAAGATTCATTTCTTTTTTTGTCTTTATTATTGTGTATTTAAAAAGGAAAAACATAAGAGATGATAATCGTAAATGAACAAACGAGATAAATTAATAAATTAACAGTATCAGAAGAAGAACAACTTTTATCACATTATCAATCTACATCACTTGTTGTAGTTATTCGAATTGATGGATTCAAAACAAGAACAGAACACTGAGGATGCAAATCAGCGCACGTGAGAAGCATTTTGTTTCATCAAATCATCGATCTAGGTAAATAAAATGTTCAAAGTTCTTTCTCCCAATCAAACGCTCACTTGGGCTCGATAGAGTGTTTTCACATCTGCTAAATCAAGTCGAAGTTCATCCGCTTCTTCTTGTTTCTCTCCATACATTGTTAAAAGTGCATCGTAGCGTTTTTCCAATTCCTAGAACATCGACGAGTAATTCGTTTTAGTTGTTCGTTAGTCACGTACTTTGTATTGTTCGTTTAATACAGGGTAGTTTTGAGTTTGTTGTCTTAATTTTTCGTTTTCGGTTGATAGATTAACTAACTCTCTTGCCATAGTCTCGCGCGTCCGTTCCAAATCAGCGATTTCGCTCTAGAAACGAATATCAAATTCAGCGATATTACACAAATCATTCTCCTGTCTCTCGTACTTGTAATAATGTAATTTCTCCTTCCTTTTCTTTCAATTGTGCTTCTAAACTTTCCAATACTGCTATTGCACCCGTGTTTCGCAACGATTCGTATACACTTGGCTTCGGAGTTGGAACAAACTAGAAAACAGATCAGTCACATTGATACAATTGCAAGTCTTGTATTCTCACAGCAGAACGTTCGAATGCGAACACGGTTGGTGTATCGCGTCCACCAGATGATCGTCGACTGTGTTGTTGGGCAAGTGTTGTTTCAAGATTTGAGTTCGTTCGATGTATAGAATTCGAATCATGTAGATTGACTTGTTCTTTCAACGCTTCGTTGGCAATTTGTAATCTCTTCAAATCATTTTCATATTTCGATTTGTCAACTTCAGTATCCAGTTCAAGTTGCCGCTAAAATCAGAGAAGTCGATAAGAACTTATCATCAAAACTTGATCCCCTACCTTCTCTTGAATAAGACTATTGATTTGTTGAGTGAATGCTTCTTGCATTGATTCAATTTGAGTTCTTTCTCTACAAAGTAATTCAAGCTACGTTCACTAGTCAATCTCCATTGTGTTTTACCTGAACTTCGCATCTTCAAAATGTGTCAGTTTCAGTTTCAAAACTTCAAGTTCAGAAGTCAAACGCGTTTTATCCTGTTTGAATGTCGTTAACTGAGCTTCTGCTAACTTCCATTTAGCGCTCATTTCCAGCAAGTTTTCATTAGCTACACGTTCGTGTTCAATGCTTGTTGCATATTGCATTTGCATTTCAGCTAGTCGATCGGTCAACTGACGTTCGGTTTTTTCGAGAGAGTTGATTTGTGATACGTAAGAAGTTTGAAGATTTTCGATTTGACGAAGTAATGGACGTGTAGCTAGAGAAGAAGTGGTAGTTCTATCATACAAGTATATCGAATGCTAGTTACCATTGGAAATGCTTTGTGTTAACTCTTCATTTCGTGATTCAGCTTCTTGAAGTCTCTAGAACGCAAACAAATCAGTTTTCGTCTCTAATAAACGAAAGAAATTACTTGTCGAAGATCGTTAACTTCTTGTCGTAGTAATTGTTCTCTTCGATTTAATTGAGCTTCGCTACGCTGAATTGAATGTCGTAATTCATCAATGGTCATTTGTAATTTTTCTTGCTCTTGTCTTGATATCACTCGTTCTTTGTCCACAGCCATTCGAATTTCTTCACGGAGTAGAATCTCGGCTGACAACGTGGCTTCGACGACTTTGCTTTCCGTAGCGGCTTTGGTTTTGTTTAATTCAGCGATTTCTCTGAAATGATGGATAAATGGCTTTGGATTTGCGGATAGATTGACGTTGACTTACTTATAGGAGTTTTCTAAGGCAACTTTTGTACTACGGATTTGTTCTTCAGCATCTTCGTACAAAGATTTGATTGATATACATTCTTTTTCATAATGAACAGCGGATTTCTCCAATTTTTTCACTGTTTCTATTGAAAGCAAACACATTTGCTAATTGAAAGAAAAGAAATGATTGAGAACCTTTAAGTTGTTTCTCGTTTTCTTCTTTTTCTTGTAAATTCTTCTTCGCTTCTTCTAAATCACTCGTTAATTTATTAATTTGCGTCCTTCAACAGAAAATTAACGTTTATCACCAGACGAAAGTACGATCGATTTCTTACGTCAGCGATGTGATGTGTGTATCACTCTCTTTCTCTTTCGCTCGTAATTTTTTGATTATGTTCGAATCTTTCAATTGATTCTTTGAAAGTTTTTCACCTTCTTCGAGTAACTGTTGAATTTGTTCTTCTTTTTCTCGCAAAACAGCCATCGCATTGCCAGTTGACGTTGAACTAGGTGAAATCAAATATCGTATTACTTGAGAGCAATTCAGAACTCATACTTTTCTAATAGCTGTCTTTGTAGAGTGTCAAGTTGTTTGCGTAATTGATCACGTTCCTTCATTAAAGAGAAGATCGTTGTCGAACCATTGGATACAAAAGTGAATTTATTCTTACTTGTGAAACATGCTTTTGTTCCTCGATTTTCAACGAAAGATTCTCGATTGTTTGTTGAAATTCATTAGTTAAACGTACTGTTCGTTGTTCAAGTTCACTCAACGATCTATTTAGAGTAAAATTGGAAGATTAGCGAATGTTCAAACATTTTCATTTTACTTTTTTAATGTTTGATTCGTCTGATGTAGTTCATTAGATTCAGTTGTTAATTTTAGGAATGCTTGCTCACGTAATTCTAAACGTTCTTTTAGTTCACCCAATTCCTATTGAAATGAAACACATTGATGCATCATCAAGTGATTGCAATGATCAATACATACTTTTGAGGTTTCTGATTGATGATATTCTAGAAAATCAAACGAAAATCATACACTTTAGAATTTAAGGAGAATATTTGATAGTATACTTTGTCGATCGTCATCATCACCCCTTTCATTGGACTGAAATGGAGACAAAAAGTTTTAAACATTTTTGAGAAAAACAACTGGGGTGTTCTTTACATTGTGATAATGCATATGTTCAGTAGCTGCTTCATCGATTAAAGTTGACCATGATGATGCATCAAAATTCGAAGTACTATTTTTGTCAATATGATCAATGGATATTGGATGATGATGATATTTCATATTGGTAGAATGGGTGGGAAAACGACCGACAACCTAAAAAATTCTCTTTGCTTGGATGAAATTTACTAAATAAACAAGATATGCTCACCTCGCGCACAACTGGTCGTCGAGCATCGCGTAGTTCTCGGCATTTATCAAATGTTTCTGTGGTACTAAGAGCTAGACCACTAGCTACACTTGGAGATGAAATCACTTCGATGTCCGATGATGCACATGATGTATGTTTACCATCATCTGATGAATCTTTACTATGCTGAAATAAGAATAAGAACGAAAGAATGATTTGATAGTGGATCAAAGTATGACTTGCTGTATCATGTCCATTGGATGATATTGTATGAGTTGGAGAATTCGATTGTTCAAGAAGTGGATTATCATCGTCTTCATCAGTGGAAACTGTAGTTTGTTGTTGTTGTTCTTTGTTGTAATTATTGTTTGCTGTTGGAGTGACATCATCATCGATTATCGATGATGTTGAAAATTCATTTGGTGGATAAGCTGATGTAAACAATAATGAGGATGAGTCATTGTCATGGGTATCACGTACAGATTGTTCACCATTGCTAGAAGGTTGAAAATAAAAGAAATCGAGAATGAATTATCAACTATCAAATTTCTCTATTCTAACAGTGATGATCGAATCTGTTCTCTATGGTCCCGCTCGACCATGTCATTGGATTATCGTTATCGATGAACATGTATTTATTGCGCTCCGTGAGAATACTCAAGCGAATGAAAATATACTTCCTTATATGGGTTTCGAATGCTCGGAGCATCAAAATATGAAACATACTCGGAGCTGACATTTTGTCTATTATTCATCCAAGAATCGATGACATCACGTTTATCTGATGATATAGAAGGAATGATTTGTGATACATGATCAGCATCCGGCTCTGAACTGTCACATTGTGCTTGAGTAAACATATGTTGCTCATCAGCTTTTATTTCTACAATCGGACCAATCACAGTTGATTCGGATGATGGAATACTGAGGGTTGGACGTAATGAATTTGTACTTTCACTGCTAGAACTTTCTGTAATGGTCGAGGATTCAGCTAATGATACAGATGATTGTGTTTGCTGCTGTGTATCAATTGATTCTGACAGCGTGGAGGATGTTGTTTGGGTCTCTATAGACTCATCAGGTGTTGTTTTATTTTCGTCAGTAATGTTTGCATCAGTTTCAGCAGTATTTGTTTGTGATGGAGAAGAGATCTACAGATGTTGTAGAGAAAAACGTTCAAATTTGAAATGAAAAATGAAAAAAGTTCTACCAATGACGACGCATTATTGCTATCACTGTATGTATTCCAGGTGCGAAGTGAAGCACCGTTTTCCGTAGGTTTTGTTGGTATTTCATTTGCCTCTATGGCTGTTGATTTTTGGTTACCAAGGAATGCCGAAAAGAAATCATCGGACGTTGTTGATTGTATACTACTTGTCGCGGTATTATGTGCTAAATAATTTCACAAATTGTGTCAACTTTGAATTTTATGGACATGAGCATTATTTTCTTTACCAAGTGGTTGAGATTCTGGATCAGGGGCGCCATCCTTGATATCGAGGACTTTATCTAATTAAATCAGAAAGAATGTCATAGGAAAAATGAAAACATTGATTTATGTTTCCAACCGATTTGTTTTTGTGCATTGATCAAGGTGCTTGCTGCAATCTGTTTGAGCTTATTCGGATCAAGCGAAAACCAACCAGCCATATTTATATACCAATAGCTAAAATGGATTAAACAATAATATTCATGAACAATGTAAATACGATATGACTATGAATTGGGCGATACAATGATAATATCGCATGTATTTCTGTTCCTACCAGCCATTGGAACAGATTGGCTGTGCCACGTCAGCCAATTGGAAATAATTATGTGATTCAATTCGTTGAAAAAAGAACCATTAAAACGATGTGTTATGACTCACTTTGTCGTCTGACGCTGGAGCATTTTTATACTCACTGTTATCTATAGAACACGACGATGACGGCGCTGTTCAAAAGTACTAAAGCAACAAAACGATCTAAAGGCGGAGGAGGTGGTGGTGCAGCGCTGATGCAACAAGTAAACCTTTGATTTATGCTAATTTGTATATGCTAACGCTGTTCATTTTAGATGGGTTTTCAAATTCCCAATTTCGATGAACCAAATATAGGTGGGGATAATGACGACGACGATGACGAGGGCCTTGAAGACGAATTAAGTCGAATTCAGGAAGAAATTGGTGGTCATACATCGAAACGATCGAAAGGCAATCAGAAGAAACCAGGTTCATATGATTTATCCAGGCAAACTTGACTTTCATAATCGATATTGTGTATATAGGTGGTTCAGCGCAAAATCTTCAATCCTTTCATAATGATGTAAATAAACTTCTCAATGAAATTGATCGTCCGATAAATGACGGTGAATTGTCTGAAGGCGACGAAGAAGATCTGCTGGTAAGTTTCAGTACTGGAACTTGTTTGACAAAATTCGATTCTCTTCTCCATTTGAGAATGAATTAAATGAGATTACTGACGAAATTGGAGCAGAGAACCAAATGGACACGCAGCCGCCATCACTACCAGCAGTGGCGTCCTCAGGTACGCCTAGTACTGGTATCTTATCAACACTTGAAGCGCGTCGACAAATGTATGCTAAAGCTGTAGACACAGCAAAGACACATGGAGATGCATCCAAAAGTCGTCGGCTTGATCGACAACTTAAAGTAATGTTTTTCCATTTGTAAAAAGACAAATAAGCTTATCCATGATTCTACTCGTCTTAGCTCATTCAAGAACTGATACAATCAGCTCGTACTGGTGCATCCATCAATGAAAGTGAAATTCCTCCTGAATTGTTTGTACCTGGATCTTCTTCATCAGCTGTTGCACAAGAGGCACCTGCACGTGCTCCTTCTCCAGCTCCTGTGACATCCTTATCGATACGCGAAAAGCCAATTGTTCCTCTAGGTGAGTTTCAATACGCCATTAAAATTAAAAAGAACACAGGAATTATTTAGCGACGTCAACATCAGTGTCAAACGGTTCCGATGAAGCAATTGCGCGTCTGAAAGCGTTAGCTTTACAAGCTAGATCGGACGGTGATATGACAAAAGCTAAAGAATATTTGATTCAAATGAAAGTATGTATAATTGCTTATCAATTGCTTCTCTCCTACGATTTTTTATGTAATTCATAGAATTTGCAGAATGGGATCTCAGTTAACGATGCTTCCGAGTCTTCTGCTTCTACTCAAAAAGACATGTCTGATAAAATACCTAACGATACAAGCTCAGCAGCACCATCTGTACCATGTTTGTGATACAACGTTCTTTTTCTTTTCCATCTATTTCTTTTATTATTGGTTTTTCAGTGGAAGCACCTGAACCCAAAACTGTTCTCGAAGCTTTACAGCAACGACACGAAGAATTAACTAAACGACATCAAGATGCAGTCAGTAAGGGAGATAATTCTAAAGCGAGGCGCATGGATCGTCTTTCAAAAGTAAATAATCGTGTTTTGATCTGATGAGATTGGCAAAGCCGAATGATCTTTTTGTTTTCTCTGAATAGCAATATCAAGAAGCTATCGAAGCAACGAAAAAAGGTCGTCCATACGATTATAGTGAACTAGCGGATCTACCTGGCTTCGCACCTATACCTATCCAACAGTCGAAACCTCAACAAGCAGCATCTAATACTGCTGTTACTACTGCAGTCTCCATACCAACACGACCATCACAACCTCAGCAGCAACGATCCAGTCAATTAGCTAGCACCATGTCACAGCCAGTGGCGCAAGGTTCCACTACCAGTAATAACAACTATTTCTTATTAATTCTCTTCAGGTGTGCATTAATATATCTATTTTAGGCTTACCAAGAGATCAATCGGTACAATCAATTCGACTTCAACAGGAACAGCTTCAAAAACTTGCTTTACAAGCGAAACAAAAAGGTACACTTTTATTTCGGCAATTCAGTCTGGATAATTTGATTATTTACAGGCGATATTGTCGCTGCGAAAAAGTATCTTATCGCATCGAAAGAGCTTGAACAAAAGGCAAACTCTTCAGAAACACTCATGCCTATGGAACCAAATCAAGTATAGAAATGTTCTCTATTTTACAGATGAAACTAAATCACTTACTTCTTTATAGGCGTCTGAATTATCAAGTTACGGCTTTGAAGTCATCTGTGATCAAGAATTAACAGAAGAACTTGTTCAAGCTGATCGCGATACAGTATATCGTCGTTTGCAAGATGACCTTCTAAGACAAATGCAACTATGTGCACGTAATCAACAAATGTATGCTCAGATGGAAGGTTTAACCAATGTCCAACATGCGAATGAATTTAAACTTCTCGAGCAACGTTGCACTCATGATTTAGAACGCTTGCGACAATGTTTTCAACATGGCTTGAAAGTCCCAGTTTTTCATTACGAAAAAAGACAAATGCACATTGTCCAAGTCAACAACGATTTAACTGACAGTGATTTCGAAGTAAAACTAAAAAAAAAGAAATATATTGTCCTTCGAACACATGCGAATTTTCTTTATTCTAGGTCAATGTCCTACGTGGTATTAATCTTCATGTACCATCTGGATATTCTGCGACAGCACTCGAGACTTATGTTATAATTGAGTTTCCATATCCACCTGAAACGCCTCAAACAGCTCGAACACGACATGCAGCTGGTTCGGCCAATGTCGAATATCCTGATGCGTTACATAAATTTCAAATCAAACGAAATGATACTAAATTTAAACGTTTGATGGGTCGAAAAGAATTGAAATTATCCATATATTATAAAGTCGGCTTTCTTCGATCAGATCGTTTGTTAGGCGTTGCATATGTTAAAACAGCTCCGCTAGAACAATTAGCAACAATTCATGAATCAGTTGATGTTTTCGAAAATGATCATAAGAAGAAAGCGGAAGGAAAACTAGAAGTCAAGATACGAATTAAAGAAGCATTTGGATCAACGAAATCTTCGCAAATACAATCACAACGCTGGCTTGTTATCGATCGTTTCGAAGACATCGTAACTTTCAAATTCACCACTCTGATGTTTCTTTTAACCCTTTCTTTTTTGCTTATAGCCTCATGATAGCAAACCATCAACATCAAAGTAAGTTCGACGTACTTAGATTAGTGCTTTCTCTGACGCATCGTTTCGTTCGTGTAATTTTCTCGTTTTTTCGTCCTAAATCCTTCGTCTAAAGATCGTTTCGTCGCACATCCTATTTTTTCAGTCAACATCTCGCGTCAAATCCAACAGCGACTATCGAGAAAGGAACATCGTCAATTTGTACATGTTTGTAAAGACAATTTTGCAAAACAATCAATGAATGAACTTGTCAATTCTAAACAGATAATTGTTTGCGGAAAATCTCATTTTTTTTTGTTTTACTAATTAATTTCTCTTTCTCTCATATCATCTATTTTTTTTTGTCTTTGTGGAGATATATTTTTCTAATAACAGAAAATAAGCAACATGAATGTTTTCTTTTGATCTCAATTCAGATCACCATCAACAGCACCGACCATTTCCACTATTGCACGACTCATTCCAACAAGCGAAGCCATAGGTTTATTGGCAGTAAATTTGGCAGGAAATAACGATAATGATTTAGTAGACTGCAGGTAGTTCTAGACTATGTAGCGAATAGTATGCATCTCTTTTTGCTCGACACTTTTCTGTTATGCATGAATGCACGAATCCTTCTACGTGATGATTGAGTTTAAACATCGACATTGTCTAAATATTTCGTCTTCTTTTGTGTAGACAAACTAATACGGCAGAGACCAAAGATGAAAATCGAAGAGATAGTCAATTGCAAGCAGTTCCACAAAGTATCCAAGTGCTGAAATATGAAACAGATCTTCTTCAGGATCAGGTCGGACTCACTGCTTTTCTTTGAATATTATATACGTAAATTCTGTTGATTGATTAGATTGAGCAGCTGGAGGAATATCTGTCGTCAGATCAGATCGATCAACTACGTGTGAAACATCAAGCATTAAAAGATGAGAGTGATAATATAGTTCGATCATTGCGTCAAGGAGGCAAACAAGCCTTACAAAGTATGCTTCGTTTCATTGATTCTCGCATTTCTTTCACGTCTCTTCTGCAGATCATATTCAAAATCTTCGATCATTACTTGAACGTTATGACAAAGAAGCCAATGATTACCGACAAAGAAATGAAAATAAAAAAGCAGACATTGCCCTTCACAAAAAGGAGCTTGTTGTCAGAGAAGTAAACCTTGCCAATTCTAAATCCAATGTTTCATCTCTTTCTCTTTTCATTAGATCGAAACATTGACTACTTGATTGTAAAAACTGACATATTTCATTCGATTTTTTGCACCATATTTATTCGTTGATTTATCTGTTCAATGCACTATTCGCTCATTTGTTAATAAATTAAGATATTTCACATCAACATTGATAGCCATGTCAATGGTTCAAAGAATTCTCTATCTATTAATATTTAGAGGTCAAATAAATCATCACATGGACACTTTAGCTTCGCAGTTAGAATTGAATTCCTCGAGAAATATTCTGTTGTGTCTATCGCAATATTCGGCTTGTTTGGCCGCTGGTTGTCTATCCGAAAAGAATAAATGGCGTGAAAACCTTATGAATTTGAATGCTCGGATAAGTTTATGTCGAACGGTTAACCGATCATTAGATTATGTTGGATGTTTATCGCGAATTCGAAAATACGGTTTTGGACAAAATGTAATCGATTTCATTTTCGATGAATTCAATTTCTGTAAAATTCGCCTTGTTTAGGATTCGACTTCATCATCATTAACTCGACTTCTAACATTGACAAATAGTATCTGCGATCTTATTTATTATCCTGCGGAATGCCTAGCCTGGTTATGCGAAGCGAATGTGTTCGGACCTAATCGATCATCCAGATCTTTTCGATTAGTTTCGTTAATCTGTTGGTTGACGAACATACTTGTTTCAATTATCGGGTATCATCTATCAGCATCCTTTGTTTTCAAATTCAAAACACGTACATGTTTTCTTTCGATAGAAATACATTAAAACTACTCCAATATCGAAGATTATTATTAGTAAAGAAATGGTCGAAAGACAAGGAAAGTCCTAGGTTAGTTGCTATTGTTAAAATTTCCATTGAGATTTGCATATCTTGTTTGAATTCTAGTCCGCTAAGTCTGAAAACCGAAATGTATAAATGTCTATTGACATTAACCAACAACTTCTGTTTTCTGATCAATTGCGTTCAATGGCTTGCAATACCTGGATTTCTATGGTCGGGTAAATTATCTACTTTTACCGTTGGTTTTTGTGGTACTTTAGCAACACTCTGTAACATCATCAAAATGAATATTTAAATACACGGCAATACTCCGGCAGCTGTCACTGTGATTTTTACACAAAAGAAAATGATTCCGTCTTTCATTTGGCCGAGAATTTTGTTTGATTTGTACAATCAATTCGATTTTATCGAGAATAAATCTGTCATACGGATTGTTGTTCTGTCGGTGATTCAGCATGAGAGATATCTTTTGTATGTTGATGATCTATTCTGAAACCATCAATTTAATAATATTTCAAACAAGATAAATCAATAAGCGATAGAGAAAATCTTACGAAGAAAAGAAATCGTCTTAAGTTAAATTATCTTTCTGACTTCCGAACAAGGTAATGTTCTACGGTCGTGTCAGTTCGAAGTCAAACCCAACTGTGACATTCTGACATTTCATATCGGTTGCTTAATGAAAAAAAGAAAAGTGTGAAATACGAAATTTTTCTCTGGGAAATCATTAATTTACAAGAACAGCATCAGTCATCCGTAGAAATCATCTCTCAACTCAATTCTCGTTACATTATTCGCTCGACAATTGACCGATGAAAGTTTTCAAGTTCTGTTTTACACAAAAAAAAACCGTTTTCTTAAACTTCACACATATACACTTTAAAAAAAGAAAAGAGAAATATCTACAGTATAGGGCAATTTGTTACGGTATTTAACTTTTTTTTTCATACATATTACGCTTATGATTGTAAATTAGATAAAGAACATACGAAGTCGAAGAAAAAAAAATAGACGATCTCACCTAATCTGACATCTTTTCGTTCGAGAAGATTTTTCTATCGCTTATTGGTACAATTACATAAAAATTGTAAAGAAAAAGAATATAACTATTAGTTCATTGTTATTCTACGTAATATGTCTGCGAAATCAATACCAATAATTAGGATATACAGATGAATGAATGTGAGTAGATTGCATCTGAGAAACAAGAAAAATCGGTTGAGTTCAAAATCAATGGAAAAGTTTTCGTTGAAGAAAATCAAACTTACACCTGACGCTCGACGTTGATTTAAAATGTCGGTTACCTCGCGATCCTCAGGTAACATTGGAGGAGAGCTAATGGGCGCTTGCGACTGCGGTTGTGGTGGTCTTGGTTGATTTGTTGATTTGGCTATTTTGCCTAGCTTAACTAAAACATGTACCAAACGTCGAGCTGAGATGGGTTCGCCAACTGAAAGTAACGATATGTCATATAAGAAAGAGTAAAATTCTTATTGAGTTTACCATTATATTTCAAATCTTGTGCAGCGGACATCAAATCATTTTCTCCAATGTTCATACCGAAGCGTTGTAAAACGGGAGGTACGGCTTGATAAGCTAACCGACCTGACGGATCCACTTGAACAAACATTTCTACAGAAGTAAAAGAACAAACAGATCGAGCTGTGTATCAACAACAATTGAGACAGACCATTAAGTTGCCGAATAGTTAATTTTTCACCAGTGTTATCTTGATTGACTACCGCTGCTGCTGCGGCTGCTGGTGGTGCAGCGGTCTGGACAGGAAAAAAACACTTTTTTTTCTGCGCGCATGTAGCGAAAGGACATGAATTTACTTGTGGAACACTTGGTGGTTTGGGAATTTCAACAGGTGGGGCAACAGCATTGACTTGCACATCAGGTGGATTGGGAGGACGATGATGATGATGGTGATGGTGACGATGTTGATGATAATACTGTTGTTCAACTACTGCACCAGCAGACTGTTGTTGTTGTGGTGGTTGAGCGTAATTTGAAACGAGCGGAACACCACGAGGACCTGTGTCAACACTTTGAGCACGATGCTTTGAATTTCGTCGACTTTCCACATAGGGAACATTGTAATTAGTATTAACAACTGGGTAAGCTTGCACGCTTTGGGGTGCTGGCCATGCAGGCTGCATAGGATATTGTAATTGTGTTGGATATAAAGCAGCTTGAGGATTTGGATAGTATGGTTGCGCTGGATGATATGTATGGAAAGCTTGTGGAAGATTTGCACCTTGATGTTGTTGATATCCATTCCGAGACGATGATTGATAACTACGTGGTGAACGAACATTCGGTGTCACAGCATGTCCTGCAGATTTTGACTGTATCGTTGAAGGATAATGTGGTTGTCTAAAGCAGAAAAATAAGAAAAATAGCTGCATGAAATGAGCCGCAACATTACTGTTGATAAGGAGTGATTGGATACGGTCCTTGAGGAGGGTAATAATATTGCTGTGGATACATTGGATTCTGTTGTGGTATGATTGCTGGTGGCATATAATAATTCGATGGATATTGTTGTTGATGTTGATACAATGAATTATTGTTATTATGATTATAATACGGCTGTAGAGCACGTGATTGTTGCCACATATTTGTGTTGACATTAGCATTCGGTACGTAGGGCACAAGTGCAGTTGGATAATCTCGGCTGTGTCGTTTTCCTTTGCGTTTTGTATGCGATGTAACTGATCGACTGTCATGAGATTTTTCACCACGACTGAAACTCTGTTGATCTTGTTTGGATTGCGATGTCGTTAATAGATCGCGTTCCTTCGACAATCGTTGACTTTGATCAGCTTTCGATTGAGCATTGTTTGTCAGTTGATTTGAAGAGCCTGCATTTGAGATCTGAGCTGCTTCAGTATTTTCGATCGTAGATGTCGTTTTGGCGAGAGATGGGACTTGTTCTTTCGAGTGAGTACGACTGCGTACATGTTGAGAGTCTTTCGTTTTTTTCACCTCTTCGTTAATTTGATTGACATCATTTGATGTATCTTGTGTCGATTGTTTGCTTTGTTGAACGTCATTGGCTTTGCTCGCATGATTCGATGCGTTCTTACTTGATCGTTTTTCTACCAGAATAACACGTTCGACATCGGCTTCGTACTTGACTTTGACTTTATATTTCTTTGTTCGATAAAGCTCTAAGGCCGCGGGATAATCACGAAGTAATTGTTCGATTTCTTTGATACTTTTCACACTTCTTGAACCTTCCATGGTATTCAAAACTAAGAAAACGCACTCAATTGTAATAGATCGAAAAAAGAAAACAATTTACATTGTGCTTTCGTGTATGGTCCACTTTGGACAGCTGTCGTCATTGCCGTCGTTGTTCCACCTGCCGATGAAGTTGTACTTACCGGAGTAGTTGAATTAACAAATGTGGTAACAGGCATCATTTTTATTTTCTTGTATATATATATGTATATGAGAAAAAATAAACTAAAAAAAAATAATTGATTAATTATATCTAATGATACAATCTCGATAGTTTTCATCATATCGTTGCGTGATCTTGTTTCCTCTCTTGTTTTTCTTTTCGTCTAACAAACTATTTGATTAGCTATTTAACTATCTGAATCACTCGGAGTTCCCATTCTTGAAGTAGAAGAAAAGAACTAATATTTATACAACTTACTAGTTATTATATGCTCGTTCAATGATTGCCTTCTATATCCAAATTTCTATGGCCTTTCGCCATCATCTTTCTTTTTTTCTTCTTGTCTATTAGTTTTTTTTTTGGTTACGCTCTCATTGAACTTAGAGAGAAAGAAAGATGTGATGATACTGATAAAAAGAAAGAATGACGTATAGATAATAAAACGAAACAGTCATAAAAACGAAAGGTAAAAAAAAGTAGTAAGTTGTCCGATTGAATCAAACAACTAATGTAAATAGTTCTGTATATGTGTATATATGCATTAAGACGGTCACCGGTTTCGCTCGAATGATTTGGAGTGCAGTAACTATATGTACAGAAAAAAAAAATACGATGATAAAGACTCTTCGTTTCTTTTTTTTTATTCTTGCCAGTATAGGCATAGGCAATAAACCGCTTTCTCGTCACAACATATAATGATCAGATATGTAAATGAATACATTCAAGTTGATATTTTGAGGGAGAAGAAAATGACAGTCGGACGTATATCAGTGAAGGAAATCAATTTTCGTGTTTTATTAGGCAAATATAATTCGAAAGAGTAAGAGATATATCAAATCACGATTAAAATGAGGAAAACTGTGCACGAAAGTGTTTATAAATCGATGTTGGCAATGCGATGAACAAGTTCATCGAAATTGTAACGAATTTTCATTGTTGTTGGTGATGATTCGGTTGTCATCATGCCTGTTATTTCTTCATAATTTATTAAATCAGGTGTTAAAACCATAACACAATGAGCAAACCAATTATATGGTTTAACAAGTAAACATCCTTCACGTTGTAGCTATAATTAAAGATTAAAAGAGAATTCGATCAATTTGTCTGCTCATTGAACATGAAAAGAAAAGACTACTTACGAGAGCAGCTAGAGCTCGATCGGATGTTACGATGATTGTACGTTTGTTTTTCTCGCGATTTTCAGGTCGACGAGCAATTTCGACTAGCATATCATCGGTGGTGCGATATCTCGGTTGCGCACTGGATACTTTTACTGTTCCGACTTGATCTAACTGATGTGTAGAATCAAAAACTAAATCAATATTCGGTATGCGCATTTGTTCATTCCAGGCAGCTGCAATTTCAGCCATGGCACGTTCGGTTCGTTGACCGGCTCGATTCAAGCATAAACGACGAAGAGAATTAACCACGAACATCATGTTATTTCCATCCAAATAGACATGTTCAATGTCGCGTGGCCAACTTTCTCGGTTATTGATTTCAATGTAAGCACTTTGAACTTCTGCTAGTACAGTTCGTTTCTAAATTAACAAGAACGTGTTCCTTTTATTTTCAATCAAAAAACAAAATTCTTACTCGTGTTCGTTCTTCTCGTTGGCGACTTCGTTTATCGCGTTCTTCGGCCATTCGAGCTTGCATCAATTCGATTGATCCACCACATTCACGGAAATTAGCTAATAATTTTCGTGGATTACCATGTAGACCGGCTGCACGAAGATTTTTTACTGTACCAAGATCTTCATCACTGATATCATGGTGTTTTCTCCAGTGTGGGCGCGTATGATGACCTTCTTCGTGTTCTCCTGCTGATGCTGTTGTTGTTGTCATAGGTGAATGACTTCGATGTTTACGCCGATATTCCT